ATCAGTTCTGAGTATATTTGCATTCAGCATCAGAATTAAAATTAGTGTACGGATCCAACATTTAACTGCAATTAAAATGAAATCAAATCAATCTACCGAACATTTCTTAACAATGAAATTAAACATCGATAATTCTATCAGTCTTAATTGTTATTAATCGTAAGTGTATACATACAAAAACATCAATAAATCCACTAGCCTGCATGCGGGTCAAAATTGAATCTTTTGTTGAGTTTTCGAAGCGACAAGATAACTTCATCAAAAACCGGCACTGAGCCACCAACCAAGCCTGTGTTGCCGCTTTGTGGTACCACAGCCAATTTACGCGCATAGCAATGCGCTAGGATGGCAGATACCTCTTCGACGCTCGTTGGGAATAACACACATTTTGATGATCCTTAAACTACGAATCATCAAAATAGCACCTCACTGCTGATGTCAATCAAAAGCTAACTTATAAATTAAAGTGAATAAATGAAGGCAGATTCAGTGCTCAATTGAGGAATAAAGAATCTATAATCAATGAATGAATATAATACCCTTATAAATATGAAGAAAATCACAATTGTATGGCTGAAGATCGTTCGTTTCGACATTATTTTTACCGATCAGCCTTTCGAATACACTCAAATCACTATCATCTAATACAGCAAAATTTCCCCGGGTCGAATCCGTTGTCGTAGCCAAACTTCGACACAAACATTTTTGCCGTAACCAACCAAATCGCCCCAGAAACGATACCGATCGACGTATCATTGAGAATATCTTCTGTTACCTGAACTAATCAGGCACTATGAATTTCTCAAAATCACTAATAAATATCTAATAAATGACTATTCAAAGGATAAAGATAAGCAAAAAATTACAAATTAATAAAGAATAAATGAATGTAGCAAGATTAATACGAAGTAAACCAATGTCATAATGCACAATAGAATAACTCCAAAACTGCCACATAACTAACTATAAAACATCCGAAATCCAAGAGTGGAACTTTATCAAAATACGAGTAAAATACTGCTGAGTCTAGCGCACACTGAACACCAAAGTATACGAGAATGTAACGATGCTGTACTTGACAAACTTATACTTCAGCCGCTCAAATCAAACTGATCCAAACACAAACAACATCAGTAACACTCTGTGCTATGCGCTATAATACTCTATGCGCTGTCAATGTACAATGAAAAAACCGGCTTGCAGAGTACAATGCAAAAATACTCTTTTCTCGAAGATTGACCATTAAATTTCCACACACGATAACAGAGCGTTTTCAATTTCTCATTGTTTTTCCTTTAGGTACAATTTTTTTGTTGTATTCGATTGACTGAAAATTTTCCTCATAACCTCAAAAAGGATTGAAATTTGGATAACTCGAAAAATTACATCTATCCACATTCATCTACATTATTCATCACTTGAAACTAAATTAAATTAAATCAAGACGACGGATTCTGAGGAATGAAAACTAAGAGAAATCTTTTCGAGAAAACCATTGCAGTTCTCACCTTTTACACCTCGTTGTGTTGAAATTCCCTTGTTTACCTTCTCAGAATTTGTGCCTTTAAATGTGCACTAATAATCAATTTTGTTTGTTGTTTCGTATACAAAACAATTTCATCATTCTTTTCATATCTATAACAAATGAATCAAATTTTAACTTCTCGCTAATGATTCGAACCAATATCTATAAAAAATCCTTTCATCACTAGCATATGCAATGACCAACCATATGCCAATTCCACTTCCTCATTTCCAAGCGAGAATCCTAACAATACAAGATTTTTCCACTGCACTCCGTTATATCTCCACATATCATTAAAAATTTTTCCAGTTTCATTCCCGTCATTCCATGAAACATGAGCCTTCATTGTCTCATTGAATTAAACGCAATACTCAAAAACACTGCCGTTCAACAAGCCTAAGCTCTATTCGCTCACCGGATAAATAATTTTTTATGGCCACTACAACTCCACTACAACCAATACCAGCTAATTTCCTTCTAAACAAATATCTCACTAAAACATAAAAAAATATCTCACTAAAAATATCAACACAAAAACAAATATCTCACTAAAACTCAATAATCATTACAAACTGATACTACCCTAACAAAAAAATTAAGCTCTTTAACTCGTATTCCTTCATAAATCTGATAAAACGTGCACCACAATACGAACACATCACCTTCATATAATAGCCACCTTTCATGTAGTGATTGTATGTAAAAACAACAAATTCACATCAATACACAGTCGCCATCAAAAACATCTTCAATGTATTTATGAAATGATGTATATATTTATTTTGCAC